TTTCACATGGCTCTCATCAAGTTCCTATGCATGTCCTGCCCTTTACGACCTTCATCCTCCAAATAAATGTTGGAGGTTTTATGCTTTTGATGCTTTAATTATTTCCTGACTTTTATTTGCCTTGATAGATGGATAGATCATGTATCGATGAATATGTTTGCGTAGGTCTGTATTGTACAATCCAAATGAAATAGGATTGTGCAAGAAACTATCTTGTGTTACACCAGACCCCTGCTTATTTTCTCTTTGCTGCTATACGTTTGCTAACTTATCCTTGTGCAGTGTCATCCTCTTGCCTATAGCAATCACTTTCTATATCACATGGTGGTTTATTCATTTTGTTGATGGGTTCTTCTCTCCAATTTACGAGCAACTTGGAATTGAGATATTTGGTTAGCATATTACTCCTTTTTCTAACACCAATAAGTGTGAGCATGTTTTTAGCATTATTATGTCGCTTCAATACCTAGTTGACACTCATAATTCATACATTTTTTGATGGAATCCTATAAGTTGTATTATACGGAATACTTTCCAAATTGTATACGTAATTAGGGTTTTAGACTGCCTAATAATTTAATAGATGCTCTAGTATTTTAGAAGTTTTTTCTTACCTTAAATTAGATGGATTATCTAGTATTTTGTTAGATTCTCTAGGATTTTACACGATGTTGTCTACTTAGAATAGGTTCTTTGAAACCCTATATAGAGGTGCTTATGCATTATAATACATACAACTTTGATAATGAAATAAATTGATACTTTCTCTCCCAATTTCTCTCTATTCTCTCCCTCATGTTGTCTTTCTCCTCTCTCTTATTCTTTCCTTTTTGAATCTTGTTCTATAGTGCTCTTCATCATTTTCATATCCTTTATTGTTTCAATAGAATAGATAATTAGAACTACGCCACGGTCCACAGAAATTAACAGTGAGTTTATTTTTGTTAACTATGAGCATTGTTACCCTTTTGCAACTATAAGAAACTGTCAATAATGTTAACGGTCCTTTTGACTGTCATATCTGATACTTATAGTAAATATGTCGGTAAACATTTTATCTCCTTTTCTCTTTGCTTTTAATACTTGCTCTTATTTCTTTAATTAGGTCTAGGATTTGTTACTTCCTTCACTTTCATTTTCGTGGTTGGAGTGTTTATGTCATCATGGTTGGGGGCATCTGTTTTGAGCCTTGGCGAGTGGTTCATCAAGCGTATGCCATTTGTTCGTCATATTTACAATGCCTCCAAGCAGATCAGTGCTGCCATATCTCCAGGTGTACTTGTTTGAATTTTCTTTGCAATTTCAAAAGGGTTGACTTTTCATTGTGGAAGGATGACCAATAGTTCATTTCAATATTATTGCAGATCAGAACACACAGGCTTTCAAGGAAGTGGCCATTATAAGGCATCCACGTATTGGTGAATATGCATTTGGGTTCATCACTTCATTTGTCACCCTCCAGGTGAGCCTCTTCTTCATATTTTATGTATCGCCCTCTCATCTAGAATATTTGTGTCTGAAATTCTTCTCATGTTTGTGGCATTGCAAATTTTCTTTCACTCGGTTAATGTTTTCTAGCTTGCAAAGCTATGCTGAATCAGAACTAGGAAAGTGTGTTGTAATAAGCTAAACCTCACTGATCAGGCTTTAGACAAATGGAGACTTCAAAATTCTAGAGTATTGTTGATTTGTAAAATGTTAGTTTTATTTCCTTTTCTTTGTAAAATGTTTGCCTGTGTGGTAGGCTTTGTATATAACTCTTTATTTTGACATTGGAGGTGAAACATCCCCCCTCCTTGTATTAATTGTATATTTGTATGTTAATATACAAGGGTTGGGGGAATGCCAAACCCCCCATTTTGAAAAAGATAAGTGATTTAAAAACTCTTATCTATTCTTAATAGATTCCAGAAAGAAAAAAAAAAAAGAAAAAAGAGCAAAATCTCGCCAAGAGAGATTCTTAACCAAGAAAGATTCAGCAGGAGGTGTGCAGTATTCAAGATGGTTCTTGTAAGATAGCCCCATCTGTGCTGGCAGATCCATGATTGCTGATTAACCCCGTAAAAAGTATCTGATCAGGGCTACTCAACCTGATTTCCTATTTTACAAAATAATGTTGCAAGGCTATTAAATTGACTACATAATTTGACCTTCACACAGAAAATGTGTTCTGCATGGTGTCGGTGGGGTTTGTTCCTCTTGCGTGCAAATATTGGAAAACAAAGCTTACATTAGGAACTCAATTGACTGATCGAACAGGGAAGTTTTTTGTGAATCAGCTGCCATTTCATTGGCAAATATTATGTGATATAAAATTAGCTGCCGATAGTTCAGTTGCTTTACCTCGAAGTAGTGGCTGACATTTATTTGTTCCTTTAATAGACGGGTGTAGAATTCATGTAATGTTGAAGTTCTCGTGTATTTTTTCTCAATTCACAGACTTATTCAGGAGACGAAGAGCTTTGCTGCGTTTATATCCCAACAAATCATCTTTNCGGGTGTAGAATTCATGTAATGTTGAAGTTCTCGTGTATTTTTTCTCAATTCACAGACTTATTCAGGAGAGGAAGAGCTTTGCTGAGTTTATATCCCAACAAATCATCTTTACATTGGTGATGTATTCCTGGTCAACTCCAATGATGTTATTAGACCAAACTTGTCTGTACGGGAGGGAATTGGTAAGTGATTTCCTTGTTACTCTTTTTATGATTGCGCGGTGTTATTAGACCATACCTGCATCACACACGCACAGACACACATATTGCTTGATTATAAATCAAGTACCAATATTTAACCTTGTCACATGCTTCGCTTATAGAAATTGTGGTGTCTGGTGGTATGTCAATGCCCCAGATTCTATCTACATCGGATCCAAGAATCATTCAAGTGGATAGAAGTAGACCTGACAGAAGCTAAGATCGAACACATCTGATGTATCCAACTGTTTCTGTACTTCCTTTATATTCTGCAAATCTAGTCATTGACATGTGCATGTGATTACCGTCAATCTAGTTCAATTTACGTTTCAGTTTTTGATTTTTGAAGAGTTAGATTGTAATCAGAACAATATGTAACAATTATGGCAATGTATAATATAGGGAAGTAGAGTTGTGTATAACTATAAACATTTTTGTTTTCCAGGCTATTAATATTAGCACGTTCAAGTGATTTTTACAAGTATTATATGAATTCAATTAAGGAAAAGGTTGCCGCTGGTATTGGCATTTAGAATGAATGGACACCAAAGCAAAAAATCATCCTCGTTTATGTTTGGCTCCTAATTTAACTCAAAAGTGGGCTGGCAATTTTTTTTTTTTTCTTTTAAAAATGTCTAGCATTTCCAAATACTTGGCATCAACGAAGTTTTTCTTTTGCTATTTGAAAAGGGGGGTCTCTTGCTTGTTCAGACTTGGGTTCAGTGTAATATTTTTGTTTTCAATTGAAGAGCTCTCCAGAATATCTATGTATGTTAGAACAAAAAAGAGTGCAAATCACCCGGGCTATAGCTACCTTGCAAATTATGAAAGAATTGGTTCACATGTAAGGCCCTGTTTGATAAGCCATTTTTTTCATGAAAGTTGGAAAAAAAAATTCAATTTTCTTGCTTTTAGGTTGTTTGATAGGCAATATTTTATAGGTAAAATATTTTCCCACGTCCACCCCCGTGCCCTTTTTCCTTGGTTTGAGGGAAAGCATTTTCCCACCATTTTGGTGGGAAAATGCAATTCCAGGTTTCTGTATTTTTTTTTTTAATTTTTTGACAATGGAAACAAATTTCATAGTCAATTATTAAAAAAAATTTCAGTTTAATGGACAATTTCCATGTAAAACAAAGTCAAACGAACACTAAATTTTGATAAAAAAATGATTTTTTTGGATTTTATTTTTTTTATTTTTTTGTAATAGAAACAAATTTTATAACCAATTGTAGAAAAAAATATCACTTTAATGGACAATTTCCATATAAAACAAAGTCAAACGAATAGAAAATTTAAAAATTTTTCGGGTGGAAAATTATACTAATCAAACACACTTGAAATCATTTTCCCTATAANTTTTTGTGGATAACTCCTCAATTGTCCAATTTTTACTTAATTTGGTGGTACTGGAATTATAGCATCGAATCAGTTTCATCATAGAAGCACTTGTTACAAAGAAATCTTTGAAAGCACTAGTGTACCAGGAGCAGAGATAATGGACCAAGATTAAAACTCAAGTACATAGCCAGCTCAACCCACTTTTGTCAGATTCAAAAAAAAAAAAAAAGGCACACCGTTC